AGTGACAGTGGCAGATAGTCTAAGTAGCTTTTCATGAGAGTCGGTTTTATTATAATTTCAACAAATATAACGCCTCACAGCCGAAAGGGTGAGCATGTTTGGTGGCAGTTGGAATCAAACCTTGAGACTCTCAAATTATCAACAGAATACACTGGCCCAAAGCTAAAGGAATTTCAGTTAATCAAAAAAAATAAGAATCAGAAATCGATTACTTGATTATTTTCATGACCAATGATATAATCAGAATTTTGATTGATTGTTTTCATGACCAATGATATAATCAGAATTTTGATTGATTGTTTTCCACAATTTAATTCTTTGTATTGTTAGCTGACACTGGGCAGCTGGTACATAATTGAATAGAGTTGTTTAAACATTTGTTTAACAACAAGTAAAAGCTTGGAATGGTCTATTCTTTCATTCAAAATGCTACAAGTTCTTCAAATACCTGTAGAATGATAGGTTTCTTTTTTGAGAGTGTAAAACACTTAAATATACCATTTCAAAAAAATTATGGTTGTATTATATGTGAAGAAAAAATATATATATAATTTCCTTCTTTTTCACCATTTCCATCATATTTCAATCTTTTGAGTTTTCAACATCCTGTGCCTAGTTATTGGCATGCTCAAACTGTGAATCCAAGGATTTATGGCCCATTGCCAGAAAAGTGTGCTATAAAAGTAATGATTAATCTCATTAGTTGGTCAGACAAGAGTAGCCTAAAATTTGTCCATTAGTTCAAAATTATAAGGACAGCTAAGCCCAGATAGCCGTACTTGTAACTTTGAAAAAATATTCTAAAAGAAACAAACTTAAGCATCCTTTTTACTGAAACAAAAATAACGAAAGCTATGCAGAATACATAGTTTGGTAGGTTTGTTTTGGAAATGATATAACTTTTCTTTATTTCTATATGTAATGTTCTTTGGCACTACTACCACAAGTAGTAGTTGTATAAACATTAGGAATTATAAACAAGACGTCACATTGTAAACTATCTCATTTAAGTTAAATCAGTTTAATGTGTAAAGAATTGCTTGATTTATAATAAGTGATTAAAAAATGTGAAATAAATAGTTAAAATTATTGATGTACAAACTAATACACAGCAAAATAAATGTTCAATATGAAATTTGGTGAAGTAGATAATGCTAGGAATTCAATCAGTGCTGGCAAAAATAAACTGTTCATAATTAGTTTATTTTTTAATATTTTAAAAATATTACAAGGTAATACTGTGGCATATAGAGTGAACTTAATTTTATAAATCACTTAATGACATTAAATAATAAAATGGTTCTGAGTAAAAATTAGCATTGCAATTACTATTAGACTGTTTTGTAGAAAATTCAAAAAAAATTTTATTGCCTCATTCCATACTGTTTTTGAATTTTTTCCAGTTAAATATTACTTTTACAAAATTTTTTGTAACAAATATTATATGCATATAATATTTGAAATGTTTAATGTCATAGTATTAAAACTTTACAAGCCCCCTAAAAAAATAACTGGCTTTTATGTGTTTATTATTGAACATCGCTTATTTTAGAAGTAACCAGAAACTGTTTTAGTTTATGTAAATTATACTATGTGTAATATGATTTCTATGTAGACTCTTGCAAGCAGATTTTCACAAATAACAGACTCAGACTAGTGATTTAAATTACACTACTATCTTCAGCCTTATCTAGTTATAAAATGGAAATTACTTACTCGTCTGTTTGAGTCAAAATACTTATACTATACAATAATTTTACTGTCTCTTCATAGATACAAGATCATGTTTATATATTAACTTCTGATTACAGCATTTCACCTACTTACAGCAAAACTAATGTCAAGCCTCTCCAGTTAGCCTTTTGTTAAGTTATAATTTTTCAAGCCACCCTTCAATGGTAAAAAGTGGGTGTTTTTAGGTCAGTCTCTTAAACTCCTCTCCAGTTATAAAAAATAGTTTTTTTTATTGAGTTATAATTTGTCAAACTATCCTCCAGCTGTAAAAAAAGTAGGTCTTATTAAACCACTCTCTAGTGATAAAAAGTGGGTGTTTTTCATGTCACAATCTGTTAAACTCCTCTCCAGTTATAAAAAGTAGGTCTATTATAAAGTTTCAATCTGTCAAATTAACCTCCATTTAAGAAGAGTATATGTTTTTTAGGTTAAATTCTAATAAGTCCACCAATGTTTAAAGTCAGATTTCTGTTCCGAGTTATTGCATCTTTTCATGTACGTTTTAATTGATTTAAGTTTTGAACCATATGCTTTATAATATTTTTACCTCCACCACCAAAAGCGGACAGAGGATATGTTTCCCCCGTGTGTTTGTCAACAAGGTTTCTCGAAAACGGCTGAATGGATTTGGATGAAAGTTAGTATATACTTCGACTATGAACCAACTTAGAAGTGATTAGTTTTTGTAGGGTCAAGGTCACAGCAAGGTTGCAAAAATCTTATTTGTTAACATGGGGACTGATTCTTCACATTACTTTTGCTCTATAACTCAGTCAAAAATGATCAGATTTTGATGAAACTTGGTGGACATATGTAGAATACTATTCTTCATTGTTCTGCCAAAAATGGTCAGTTCCATCAATAACAACAGACATACAGACACACTTTCATATTTTTTGAGGGCTGAATATGATCAATGCTGCGTGACAGATGTATGCATTCTACTGAGTGCTCCTCTAGTTCAATGTTTGTTTATACTGCTAATTAAACTGTTATTCTCTGTTTAAGCCTTTTTCCACTTTTAAACTCAAATATATGTGAATAATAAAGTCCAATATTTCGAAGCTAAAGCAACCTTTAGTTTCAGAAGAACAAATTTCTATGTATTCTTGATCTGTATCACGTCTGGCAGGAAAAACAACTACTGTTTCATTCTCTGCTTTCTTATTTAACTAAATCGGTGTACACAATATTTTGTAAGAAGGTCTAACTGACTTCAAATTAAAAGTCTGAAGGACATTTGGCACAACATTTTTTTATGGTATGATGCCACTTTACAGCATAAAACCAGACAGTTTGATAACAGTTCTCTTGTTATTCAGTTTTCACACGTAAACAAATGTCTATGCATTTTGTGTAAGATCAAACAATCTCCCACAATATGTAGCAGGTAATTAAAACAATTTTTAATGTAAAAGTTTTTTACTTAGTGATGAAATCAAAAAATGTTGTCTCTAGCAGATTTCATAGAAAACAAGTACAGATGCTGCAAAAGGTTGCAGCAAATCTGTTTTTATTTTCAAATCAATGTTCCTACCGTATACTAATAAAGTTTTCAGCAGTATTTCCTAGTAAACTTGGAAACCATTGTGTTCTGAATAACATGAATAAAATGACTTCTATTTTCATGTTACAGAAGCTATGTTAGTTAAAAACAAATATGCGATGGGTATACTCTTTGGTTAAAACTTTTGGTTGTTTGATCCACCCTAGGAACAATAACACTAGCTTGCTGGTTTACAAACTCTTGTGAATGGTTGTAAAGTTAATTAAAATAAGAAGAAGAAAAAATATAGAAAGAATGAGTCTTGAAAACTAAGAAGAAAAAATAATTATTACCCTTAAAATCTGATTTGTAAATGACTTAAATAAAATTGATAATAATTACAATTCACTTGCTAAATCTGATTCACACCATAATAGTTGTTGTTTGTAAAAATACAATGTATATATATAAATATATCTGTAGTTTCTAGATCACTAATATGGCTGTCATATCATAGCTGGTTTGATTAACCCTGGTATTGGGCAAAAGGCCCATCTACATTGGATATGACAGGTTTAATGTGGTTGACATAGTATAATACACTCATGGGTTCTTAGAATTTACATACTTATAACATGTTAGTGAAGTATTTTTGGCAGGTTGTTCAAATTAAGAAACCTGTATTGCTGAATCAATACTTACACTAGGGTGGTACAACTTTTTACCTCTGAATGGCCAGTCTGTATTGGACAGTCATAACTTGCTACTTATTGGACTTGCAAGAATGGGATTTTGCTATTGAAATTTGTTTGCGAGTAAAAACTGCTTACTGCATAAACATGAACTTCAGAATGTAATTCACAAGACTGGATGAACCACACTTAATTTAAAAAATTATATCAAAATTTATTTTGTTAGCCCAAGTATTTTAATATTATTTAGTATAGATGTTTTCAGGGCTACCACCTTTTTAGGAATCTATCTTAGTGAGACTTGAAAAATAAAGGTTTAGCATATGATAAAGTACTTAGAGTGCTGAAGACGATTCCCTTCTAGGGTGGTCTGGGGTCATGCTTCTTCCACAATTTTTTTATTCAGTGTAGCAAAATGATGCAGTCTTCAGCATTTCCTGGACCATTATATGCTGAATTTGACTTGGATCCAGCTGGTCAACCAATTGCAAGGCATTCTAAAAAAGAAGTTAACTTGGCCAAAACATAAGATTTTTTTTACTAATTCTTGGGGCTATCAGCACTAAACATCCCTAACTTAGAAGTGGTAGTTAGAGGAAGGCAACTAATTCACAGCATCCACCAACAGATATTGGGCTACTCTTTTCCAACAAAAAGTAGGACTGGCCATCAAATTATAATGCCCCCACAGCTGAAAAGGTGAGCATGTTCAATGTTAGGATTTAAACCCACAACCCACAGATTGTGAGTCGAGCACCCTAACCAGGCTATGACAGGCCCCAGGAATGTTAGTACTTAATTGTTTTGGTCATTTTACCAATGAAGTGCCTTCTGATGATATAACTGACTGGTCTTTACGTGTTATAAAGAGTGTATAAAGCCAGGTTAGTTTCAAAAAATAACTCAAAAGTGAGATAGGTCATTTAATTTCTATGGTATTTAATGCAAAAATGTAAAAACAGTTTAAAATTCCATTAGTACAATATCTCAGTTTGCTTTTGTTTTCATTTGCATATAATAATAATATCCTTTCGATTTACTATTAAATTTATGTAACTTGTTGTGAATAATTTGTTGAATATACTTACTAGTTTTTGCTTGATAAAAAGAATCATCGCCATCTGTGAAGAAAAAAGTCTATAAAAGAAAAAATCATTATTTTTAATGATATATTGCCAGTATTTATTAGACATAGAAACACAAATAACAAAATACTTTGAAGAAAGAATATTATCTTCTTGCAGTTGTTGACCCAAACATATTTTTTAAATTTTGGTACAGTATTTCTTAGATAGAGTATGTTTCCTCCCCACAATATGGATGTGGAGTGTAGTAATTCTGTCTATGTATAGCTGAGCTTGCTAATTTAAACCTTAAAATTTCTCTTTCACTAAAAATTACCAAAAACAAACATCTTAAAAGGAATAGGATTAGTCCTGAAGACTCCCCATTTGTCACTAAAAACTCAGCATTCCATGCAAGCTGTGTTTGCATAGTTCTACACAGCTAATGAGTACTGAAAATGTTATCATGGAAATCTTGTGCATATCACCAGTTCCTGTGTATTGTCTGCAACAAGTGAAGAGCTATAACTGCAAGTTCACCCAATCACTGATACTTCTAAACGCTGGATGAAAGGTCTTGTGATAACCAAGTGTTCTGTACTACTGTAGCATAAGCTTAATCAAAGTTTCAGTATCGGTTTCAAAATGATAAAAAAAGTCAGCAATGACCCTGGATAATGCAGAAAGAGTATTCAAGTGTGCTAAACAAACTTATTACATTTGGTGTCTAGAAATGAACTGTTTTTATGTGCCAAGAAGTATTAACTTTTCATTCACTTTATGTATTTAGTTTCAAAGTAAATCATTCTTACTTGAATAAAATCATTACTGCAACAGTATAAAGCAGTACTAACAAAGAAAATCTAAGTAGCTTGTTAACCTATGATCTTGTGAAAATAGGACGAGAAAGCATAAATTTAAGAATTATAAAAAAACAGACTGTGCTTTAGTAAACACAGTTTTTCTAACAGGATGAGCTTATATAAGTCACTAAAGAAGAAACAGTGTTACGTCTCTGGTCGTTTGTTAATTACTTGTAAAAATTATTTCCGAAGAACTTTAGCGATACAAGTCCTTTCTCAAATAAAACTAGTTTATTCTCTCTCAATTCAACTTTGCAATGCACTTAATTTCCACAGTCCCTTTAACTTAAACACACGCTATAATTCTCAATGAACGAGATTCACGCATTTTAATTACTATCACGCTTAACTCAATTGTCCATCTATATCTTCAATCTCTCTGTCTGCTATTCAATTCCGATTAATTGTCTGGTGCACTTATATACAAGAATAGAGGGTGCCTAGCAAATACTGGAGTATTTGTGATGTTCCTCAATCTTTCTAGAATTCATTACGTGTTACCAGCGTCACGTGACTTCCGCTGTCATAACAATAGTTTAATATAGAATGAGATGCCATCTGCAGTAGTGGAGGCCAGCAATTTACAGGGGTTTAAGATGGGAATCGAGGATTTCCTGAAAAATCAAGAGTGGGTTTAAATTTTTATGTTTTTCACAGGTGGGTGAATAAAGGCAGCCTTTGAAGGATTAAATGGTCCCTTGTTATCCATAGGCTATATTTTGTTATCATTCTGTGTTATGCCCTTTTGCAGAACCTTCTTAAAGAATAAAAATCTTTACCAATATGCAAAACACAAATTGGCAGAAAATTAAAGCTATGTTGTCTATTGCATGATATGATATACATTGATTGTACATAATTATATTATTACTATTAAAATCTTACTTGCACATTTAATAATTTTGAGTAAGCTTCTGTAAAATAGTACTTGACAAAAAAGATAAAATAGATTTAGGTACAGTTGTTATTTCATATAGCCTATGATTGGAAATCCTGTAATAATAGCATATTGAAAGAAATTTGATAATTAAACACTAGTTTCTTCTACTGCAAAAAGCTTTAAAATCTTTTACTTATACTTTAACACTATATTTTTTACATTGCAATATGCAAACAACAAACTTCAATTATGTTTCTGGCTTTTATGCTTTCATCAGCACAAGTTTTTTGATTAAGAAAAATAAAAAAAAACAGAGTAGCTATAACTAGTTGAACAAAGAATCTTAAGAAAGTATTTAGAAATAATGAAGTACAAATTACCAAAAATTCAAAACAAAAATGGAAAGAATTTCATATAATAATGCTGTTTCACTTAAAACTTGAGGAAAATTACAAAAACCACTTGGTGTTCCTTACTCACATGGATTTAAACATTACCCCAAAAGTGTCAAACTCCTCCCTATCCCAAGTATTAAAACAGCTCTTGGAGCAAAAGAAAAAGAAACAAACACATCCTGTCACAAAGACTAAAAGCAGGAAACTTCTTTTACACCATTATTCTAAGCTAACCATACTCTCAACTGTGATGAAAAAAAATTAAATTTTCATATGAAACCTTTCATCACACAACAAAGAAAGGCCCCACTGAGCTCTATTGCAAAAAAAAAAAAAAAAATACATCATACAGGTCCCTGTCATTGCAACTTTTGTTTAAGACAAGCCTTCTTTCCCCCCTCCAAAATATTGAATCAATCATATATAGTTATATTTAATACTTCCAAAATTAAAAAGACTTCTGTGAATGCATTTATTCCACTACACATACTTAATAATGAGAGAAAAAAAATAATTCTGTCAAAATAATCTCAAGTATACTGTAAATGTTCAATCATACCCTTGAAAATAAACTTACTGAAGGCACAATATTTTGTAAAATTATCTCAGTAAACATTTTTTTACGTATCAACGAATTTCATTTGTTTTGAAAGTTATTGGGTTGATATAAAATCCCACTTAAGTACTTAATTTTACTAAATCATTACTGAACAAGCAGCTTTTAGTTGAGAGACGACTACAAATTACAATGCTTCCGTTATACAAACAAGTGCTACAAATTACATGTGAGAAGAAACCACGCACACCTAAAATATGGTAATATGTAAAAAGAAATCAAGAACCTTCTTACCTGATCACGTGCTAGGATAAACCATGTCCTGAATATGACGTCCAATCTTGAAGCATGATATATTTTTGTTGTTTTTACACTGAAGAAAATATCATTCAATTCTGTTAATGGGTATGAAAAATTATTTTCTATTTCAAATTCTTTAAAATCACTGTCTGCGACTGACCTAGGAACTCTTTCTTGAAAGTTCGTAGCCTCCAAAGGTTTACCAACAGCGGATTTTCGCATTAGAAGTCCAACCAGTGCAGCTGCGGGTGATGTGTTGGAATGTCGAGTAGTGTCTCCTAACCAAACGACGAATAAACTTCTGGTGAAAAGTACAAGTGCAATGCCCGCAGCCAGCTGCAGTAATTTCCTTAAAGATATCCGCATCTTGGCGGGTAAAAATATAGTACTTGCTTTTTACCACGATCATTAGGTCTTAAGTTAATTTACGTTTTGTGTTAGATGTAATATACACAGTCCCCGCAACGAATTATTCTCGTTTAGAACGCCATGACCACTGTCTCGAGATGTCGAATCTCGAAACGGAACACCTGCTAATACGCATGCGTAAGCATTAAATGCAAAATGATTCAACTACTGCAGGTGGCCACAGATGGCAGCACTTGTTGATAATTTCAACAGGTGACTTTCTTTACTGTTCATACACTACAGCTAAGATTGTATTATGCTTCTTGCTATTGGAATCCAACAGTATAGGGCCAGTAAAGAAAGATTTGTGAAAAATTATAACAAGTTTTATTGTGATGTACTCTCACTAAAACTACTTATCAACAAGACCGCGTTTCGCCAGCATAAGGTTTTATATACCATGATAATTGATAAATGTATAACAACCATGATAATTCATAAATGTAAAAAAAATTTGGCTATTCTCGCACGCACATACAATAATCAAACTAGCAGAAATAAAAGGTGTTTCTCCGTGGTTCATGTATTACTGAAAACACTTTGCAGTATGAGTTGTTGTTTGTTTAAGTAAGAAGGAATGAACATAAATTTTGAAATACTCAAGCGCACGTTTATCATAAGGTTTAGAACCCTATATTAATTCACATTGTGTAAATGTGAATTTATTTGATTGTCCACGAACTCCTCCCACAGTTTTGGAACTAACAGGACCAAACTTGGTAGGTAGACACAGTGGGTGTACTTATCTATACGGAATAGCCCTCCTACTCGGTTTAAAACACGCCTGGGAGTTCACCCAGGCATGATAGGGATCTAAGAGTAGGTTTTCGGAGTCGCTGAACTCGAATCTGGCATCGGGTTTTGTGTTCCTGCCCCCCCCCCCCCATCGGGATTCTTGAGCCACCAAGTTTGAAATTATGTTTATACCCCCAATTACAACTAGCTTATGTACCACGGGCGGGTGTTATAATGTCTGTTTCAGGTATAGACCCCCTTGGTAGCTATAGAAGTAATTAGGAATAATGGAGGAGCTTGATCAGTACATTGTGAATTATGAGGGGGTCTTTGAATACCACAGCGAAGTGCGAAAATGTTATGCTAATCGCATAACAATTCATGTTGCATACTTGTGAATTTGTTTGTCCCCACAGTTTTGAAACTAGCATGATCAAACCAAATAGGCAAACTTGGGAGTATCCTTAACTATATGTCATAGCTCCCTACAAAGAGAGTTAAAATGAAAAATGGGATCTAGAAGAGGATTTTCAGGATCGCTGAAATCGAATCTGGCATCACAGTTTGTGTTCATGCCCCCCCCCCTCGGGACCCCAAAGGTGCCATATTTGAAACTGTGTTCATACCTCCATTCACAAGCTTTGGGGACCGAACGAGAAACACGTGCTCAGTAATCATAGGTAGGTGTCCTAACGATGGTTTCTTTTCGAGTTTGGACCATCTTGGGATAGCTATAGAATTATGTAAGGATAATGGAGGAGCTCGATCAGTACATTGAGGCTTCAGCAAAACATGAAGGGCCTTTGAATCATGCAGCGCATTCGGGTATTTAATGCTTGATTTATAAGGTACCATACTGCCAGGATAGTTGGCTAAATATATAATAAAAGGACAACTCGGCCTGTTGTTCTCAAAGCCATTTATTTACAATGATGTGTGTGTGTGTGTGTGTACATATATATATATATATACATTTATTTATGATACAAAATAAGCCTTAACCAAAACGCTCCACAACAAAACAAAGTCATCAGGGAACAGGCTATATTGCGGGGTATGAGATGTTATCTGGAATTTGGAGGAGACCGTACTGTGACCACCACATATGTCAAAATCCGGTTTTTAGAGTTATAAGCCTTCAGACTTACCGCTGAGCCACTAGGGGCCTCTTATACTTGAAGATTATTTTGCATTGATAGGCTAGTATACACAGCCTATCAATAACTAAAAATACCCACTCCACAAAGAATGCCGTTTTATTAAATAAAAAAACGCTAATCGATGGGTACAAAATTACTATTAGTATTTAGTGGATCTGCCCTAAGCGATATTTAAATCAGAAACACGGTTGCACCTAATATTTCCAACACTTGGAATATGAGTCTGTGTAATTGCACCCCATTTCTGGTAAAGAAGTGATTAAGGATAATGGAGGAGCTCAATCGCTACATTGAGGCTTCAGAAAAACGTGAAAGGGCCTTTGAATCCTGCAGCGCCTTCGGGTATTTAATGCTAGATGCACGTAATATTTCCAAAATCTGGAATATGAAAATGTGGAATTGCTCCCCATTCCTGGTAAAGAATTTGGATGAGGGTGACCCTAGAATTTCGTTGTTTGGGACGTTTTCGAAGGGAACGATCAAGAATGAACCACACATGTTCACGGGAGTGTTAATTCCCTGCTCCTTAAATCACCTTTTGTGACTCTGACTGATTGAACAAGAGCCTCACCTTGCATGAAAACACTACCTTAGTTTGGTTGGTTTAGAATTTCGCACAAAGCTACACGAAGGCTATCTGCGCTAGCCGTCTCTAACTTAGCAGTGAAAAATTATAGAAAAGGCACCAATCATCACCACCCACCGCCAACTCTTGGACTACTCTTTTACCAACGAATAATGGGATTGATCGTCACATTATAACGCCTCCAAGGCTGAAAGGGCGAGCATGTTTGGTGATACGGGGATTAGAACCCATGACCCTCAGATTGCGAGTCGAGCTCCCTAGCCACCTGGCCATGCCAGGCCAAAACTGTTTTCGATTTTAGGTAAGAAATTTCTTCACAAAACTGGGTCTCTTTAGACATTGAAATCTATACAGAATTGTACATAATTGGATTGTCCTATTCACATTTTTTGATTATTTACTGTTTTTAAACAGAACATATATATTTCAGTTTTAATACAAGTAACTGTATAATCAGATCCCCATAAACATTCTCACGTACTTGATAAAGTATATATGTAACAAGAAAACTAATGCTACTGAATACGATTCCCCCCAGTGGCTCGGTAGTAAGTCAGTGAGCTTATAACGCTAAAAAACTGGGGTTTGATATCCTTGGTGGGTACAGCACAGATGGTTCATTGTGTTGCTTTGTGCTTACCTACAAACAAGTTACTGATTATATGAAACAAACCATTTGTAACATAAGGTATTACCAGTAATAAACCCCTTTGAGACAGAAAAAAATAATCAATCACTTATTATCATAGAAATTAAAAACATTCAGTTCAACACCACTTACCCAATCATACTCTCTCTCTTTTTTGTCAATTACAATTATAATTCCTGTTCATAAATTTCATCAACTCTTAACCAGGTTTTTATAATTTTTGGTTTCTCAAAGTAATAAAAAGAAATACAGTTTTCCATTGTTTCTGAAGGTATATTTGTTTTGTTTTTCTTTACTTATTCACTTGAACTTATTTATATAGGCGAATTTTCAACTGCACAAATATTTTTACAGGAACACAATTTGTGATCAACTGCATACTAGGAAAACCCCTGGGGCATGGGGTAGTAAAATAAGACCCCCCCCCCAATAAATACAAGTGCATACAATGCATAAAAATTGTAAACTTTATTTTCGTTGGGGGCCCTGGTGCAGCTGCTCCTTCTGTCCCACCTTTAATATGGCCCTGCTTGGGGCGTCAGTTAAAAGAAAACGAGCTGCTTCAATCAAATTGAGCTGTAAATGTTACGGAAATAAAATATTTTCAAACAATTTACTTTCAAATTCACATTAGCGAAATTTCGTTATGGAAAGTTTGCAAATCGACAACTTCCACGCATATGTACACCGCCATATTGTAAGCCCTCATCATTGGTGCAGTGGCGTAGCAAGAGGGGAGCAGTCGCCCCCGGGCGCAGGGGTGATGGGGTGCAAAATTTCCTCTGGCCTATAATGCCTATTAATTAATAATTATGCTCCCCCTAGGATATAGCGCAACTGCCCTACGTTAAGTAAATA